AGACAGAGTTGTGAGGACGTGCACGAGGAGAGACAGAGTTGTGAGGACGTGCACGAGGAGAGACAGAGTTGTGAGGACGTGCACGAGGAGAGACAGGGTTGTGAGGACGTGCACGAGGAGAGACAGAGTTGTGAGGACGTGCACGAGGAGAGACAGGGTTGTGAGGACGTGCACGAGGAGAGACAGAGTTGTGAGGACGTGCACGAGGAGAGACAGGGTTGTGAGGACGTGCACGAGGAGAGACAGAGTTGTGAGGACGTGCACGAGGAGAGACAGGGTTGTGAGGACGTGCACGAGGAGAGACAGAGTTGTGAGGACGTGCACGAGGAGAGACAGAGTTGTGAGGACGTGCACGAGGAGAGACAGGGTTGTGAGGACGTGCACGAGGAGAGACAGAGTTGTGAGGACGTGCACGAGGAGAGACAGGGTTGTGAGGACGTGCACGAGGAGAGACAGAGTTGTGAGGACGTGCACGAGGAGAGACAGGGTTGTGAGGACGTCAACGAGGAGAGACAATGAAAGAACCGGTGGATGTTTATCAGCAAATTTTGTTGAGAATAAATAACAGTTTTGAAAGAGATTAATAAGATGAAATATCCTGGGGAGCCAGTAGTCGTGTCTATTAAAGTGAAAGAAGGGAGATGTTCGCTAGGAAGGTGCAGACACCGGGAGCTGCAGAGAATATTTTGGAGAGCCGATGAATGATGATGATGACAATGAGGTAATGGTATCATGACTTGGGCAAGAAAGAATAATGTCCAGCAAGAGTGAAGAAGAGGCAGGTGTGAGTGTGGATAAAGTGGGTGAAGCAGTGGGTTGATTAAAAGTGGGGTAAAGCAGCTGGGACACAGGTTTAACCTGAGATGAAAAAAGCTAGTGTGGGAGTGGTTGGTGCAGGTGTTCGTTATACAGAGTCTGCATCATTACAACCCTGAGTGACTCGCTACCCTCTTTATATCTCTGTGCTGTAGTGAATAAACCACTGGTTGGTGAATATCAAAATATCCAGGTATCACGTATGTGTCCAATTCATCCACAGTGCTTGCACTCTGAAGGACGTGAGTGAGTGCACTTTTAAGGAGGGTGTGAAGTGCAGTGAGTGCACTCTGAAGGAAGAGTGGGGGTGTTGCAGTTCGTAAGTTTATTTCAACTGTGATGTCTGCGCACTTTTGTCAAGACAGCTATTGAATGAATGATGGTGAATGTTTTTTTTTATTTGCGGGTCAGCCTACCTTGGTGGGAGACCACCCACGTTATTTATATATATATAATATATATATATATATATATATATATATATATATATATATATATATATATTATATATATATATATATATATATATATATCCATGAGGAAGCACTAAATCCGTAGGAGTCACACAGCGCCTAGAGAATGGCAAGCAATGAGGTATGATCCGAGGAAGAAACAATTGCTCCTGTGTTTAGGAGCTACCCCATGAGAGGTAATTAATAATTACGATATCTCCAGGACACTTCCAGGACACTTCCAGGACACTACCAGAACACTTCCAGGACACTGCTAGGACACTTCCAGGACACTTCCAGGACACTTCCAGGACACTGCCAGGACACTTCCAGAACACTTCCAGGACACTTCCAGGACACTTCCAGGGAACTATTTGTCACATGTAAATAAAAACTATTTTGTTCTTAGTATTTCATCAGTATGTATGAGCGCCATCCTGTGTGACAGAATATGACTGGGAAACGTAGCTTTTCTTCCCACTGTGTAACTATTATATAGAATAGGGAAGCAGCACACCACTAGTGTTCTCATCATGTAGCTGTCATATATCTTTTCCTGTACCTGGAGTCGTTGCCTGTATCTAACGTCACTGCTCGTATCTGGCATCGTTGCCTGCATCTGGTGGTGTTCCTTGTACATGCGTCGCTCCCTGAATCTGGCTTCGTTGCCTGCATCTGTGTTGCTCACTGCTACTGGCGTCATTCACGGTATCTGACAACGTTCCCTGCATCTGGCATCGTTCACTATATCTGGCGTCGTTGCCTGCGTCTGAAGTCGTTCACTGCATCTAGCTTCATAAATAACAAAAAAAAAGGCACAATACCGTGACTGGAACGATACACAAAAACCTGCACATAGAAGAGAGGAGCTTACGACGACGTTTCGGTCCGACTTGGACCATTTACAAAGTCACACTTTGTAAATGGTCCAAGTCGGACCGAAACGTCGTCGTAAGCTCCTCTCTTCTATGTGCGGGTTATTTGTGTATCTAGCTTCATAATCTACAGCCTAGTTCCCTACAGCGTCGTCTCCCTGTCCGTAGAATCTCTCCCTACATACTGTAACTACACAAAACACTAAAGCCTCACCATACATTAAGAGCAATAACAGTGTGGAGCGCACATGAACGACAAAGAACATCTCTTGCCTCAGTCAAGTATAACAAGCTTTCCAAATAACGAAATAAAACACTAGTTAGTATATTCCACTGCTGTGTTTTCCTAGAAATTTAATTAGATAGTGGATGAAAAACACTGAGAAAAGCCTAAGTATCTTTATTCCCAGAGATTTTCCGCCTGTGTAAGTATTTTTTTTTTAAATCTGATACAGCGACAAAATTAAAAATCTCTCCACTAGAGACCGCCAGGTGTTGAACATGTCTTATTCTTCAACTTGTAGGCATTGCATTTCTCTCATTCAGTGATGTTCAACCGTAATCTTTCAAAATAAATTTCTTGCCCAATTTTGAAACTGTGAATCATCTATATCCAGCAGCCAAATAAACAATTCGAATCTAGATTGCTAAGAGGATTCAAACTTTGGGGGGTGTTGAAGTACTGACACACCCTCCAGCTACCTCTTGCGCCGCCGTATAGGAAGATTTTGGGAAAGACAAGCCTGGCCCAAGACCGGGTTGCAGGACAATAACGCTCGAAACGGGTCAAAGTTATATCAGAGGTGGCATGGGCCAGTATAGGCCTGAGGCGCTTTCTCTAGTCTTATGTTCCCATAAATCACACAGCCAGAGAAGCATTACGCTCCAGCTGTGGAAGATTCTCACTATTTCAACTGATTTTGTTTACCAGATTCTCGGAACTCTGGGAGTAGCATGGTTCATTCTCTTGGAACTCTGGGAGTAGCATGGTTCATTCTCTTGGAACTCTGGGAGTAGCATGGTTCCTTCTCTGGGAACTCTGGGAGTAGCATGGTTCATTCTCTTGGAACTCTGGGAGTAGCATGGTTCCTTCTCTGGGAACTCTGAGAGTAGCATGGTTCATTCTCCTGGAACTCTGGGAGAAGCATGGTTCATTTTCCTGGTACTATGGGAGTAGCATGGGTCATTCTCCTGGAACTCTGGGAGAAGCATGGTTCATTTTCCCGGTACTATGGGAGTAGCATGGGTCATTCTCCTGGAACTCTGGAAGAAGCATGGTTCATTCTCCTGGAACTCTGGGAGAAGCATGGTTCATTTTCCTGGTACTATGGGAGTAGCATGGGTCATTCTCCGGGAACTCTTCGAATAGGTCCATCTCATGCTGTTCATTCTTGTTGGCATGCTGGCCATGAAGACTTCCTCCACGCCACTGGTGAATTCTGTAAGTGGTCGTCGCTTCAGATCCTTGATTGAGATATATTGGACCACGACGCAAAGTTGGGATGTGTTGAACCATGACGCAAAGTTGGGATGTGTTGAACCATGACGCAAAGTTGGGATGTGTTGAACCATGACGCAAAGTTGGGATGTGTTGGACCATGACGTAAGGCTAGGATGTGTTGGGCCATGACACTAGGTTGGGATGTGTTGAACCATGAGGCAAAGTTGGGATGTGATGAACCATGACGCAAAGTTGGGATGTGTTGAACCATGACGCAGAGTTGGGATGTGTTGAACCATGAGACAAGGTTGTGATGTGTTGAACCATGACGCAAAGTTGGGATGTGTTGAACCATGAGGCAAGGTTGGGATGTGTTGGACCATGACACAAGGTTGGGATATGTTGGACCATGATGCAAAGTTGGGATGTGTTGAACCATGAGACGAGGTTGGGATATGTTGGACCATGACGCAAGGTTGGGATATGTTGGACCATGACGCAAGGTTGGGATATGTTGGACCATAAAACAAGGTTAGGCTGTGTTGGACCATGACACAAACGCCTCAGTGCCAGGGAAAATTGGTTGAATAATAAATTAAGGATGAAATTATCTTGCACAGACCATCTAGGGTCAAATATTCTCCTTATATTCACTTATATTTGATAGTGCTGTAGGGAATTTATATACTATACATTCATATAATTATAAAATATAAAATATTAACTCCCAATTACGCTATTATAATTTATCGATCGCATTTTTTTTTTTTTTTTTTTTTTTTTTTTTTGTAGGCTGAAATTCGTTGTCAGAAACTGGCCAACACCGCTGTCACACCCACTGGCCTCTCGCATTAACTTTCTTAATTTGAGCTACGAAAAAAAATGCTCTAACACATTATCATATTTATTATTTCAGCAGCAAAGGCTTGGTTGGAAACTTTAACATTTTTAGTACGACTGAATGGCCCGCTAATACTCATCAAGGCCTCGAACACTGTAATTACACTCAGGGTATCTGCGGGTAACCTCGTGGTAGATTTAGACTATTAAAAGTTGTAAGCATGCTATATATATATTTAGTAATACTAGTAGCATCAGGGAGCACGCACCCCCACGCCACTAGTCAGTCCTGCGTGTTTGCTTAGTGTTTTATTCTATCGACTGCTCGAAGGTTATTAAGGCTTCTTGTTACGCTGGTACTCAAGAAACCTTTAATCCATAAAATGGGGATTAAAGTACTCTCATGTGTATATATAAACACAGATATACACCTTTTTTTTGCTGGATATACATACTCTGCTGCAATCAGTTCAAAAATATCGAGAAAAATACACGCCTCGGAATATGTAAATTGTGTGGTGTGAGGGCTTGGAGGGTGGCCTGGCAGGTCCCCCTGACTGCGACAACAACACTCACCACCATGAACCAGCGCATGACTGTTATCTGCTCCTGCTGCACCGCCACTGGGAGCACCTTGCACAGACGTGTTTCTTCCCTCCCGACCCGTCTAACACTGCGTCATCACTCCTCGACTCATGCTAAAA